ACACAACAAGAAGCAGAAAGTTATCAAAATAGCTGACATATTGGGGAAAAAAATGGTTTTGGTTTGAGTTGGTGACTTGTGCATTTCTTTATGCAAACAAATGGGTCAATTTGCCACATTCAAATAAACGCATGAATACACAAATAATGCACCTGCTCTTATTTCTGTACATTATTTCTCATTGACGGAGTATAAAGCAGATGACTTGTTTAACAAAGTGGATATAACCTATTTTTTTTTTTTTAGATGGAGGGACCAAATGTAAAAATGTAAGAATCTGCCACTGAAAAATACACATCGATTGACCTCTAATTAGAAGATCACGAGTTATTGGCCCACAATAACTACTGATACAAGTTCATACCAGTGTTTCCATCTGCAGCAGCTTGTTCCCATGGTCCTGTAAACGCTCACGCTTCATTTCGATGACAAATAACAGACTCTCCTGCTCCTGCTCCCAGAACGCACCAGGGCTGCCATGAGTCTGGGATGAAAAGACGGATACAGCTGATTACTGCAGCTATCTGAAGCACGCTTTGCCAACGGATCTCCACTCTCATCATAACAAACCTCAATATTTCTCTGAAGGTCTCTCTTGAGCGTGGACTCCTCCGCTCTGCGCTTTAACTCGTTGAACAGCTTCAGCTCTGACGTCAGCCCTTCAATCTGATCCTGAGTTCATAGGAAGTTCAGAGCAATCACTTCAAAATCAAGTCTGGTATGTCTAGCTTGACGTGGGAAGTATATTAGATCAGCTCTCAATCAAATGTATTAAGGCAAATCAGAGCAGTGATGTTACAAATAGATGCATTTTACCTTCAGTGCATTCTCAGCTGCTGCATGAGACTCATTTAAAACATTCTTCTCTTCACTGTGTAATTGCTGTAGCTCTGCAAAGTAAACAATTATTGAATATTACTATTTACCAAAAGATTATCGCTCTCTCTCATTCATTACATACATACATACGGGATGCAGCGATTAACCGGTTTCACAATCAACCGCGCTTTAAAATGTCACGGTTAATTAATCGTAAAGGCTCCGCTACACCGAGTGTTTCTGTTGCACAGAACGAAACAGTTGCAACTTGCGCTAATAAAATTTTATTAATAAAAGTCACAGGGCAGGGTTCACAACAAGTTTGT